TGTGTGTGTGATCCTGGTGAGCAAGCACTGCTGTCACAGACTGGCTGCAGTTCAAGGGGTTCTTCAGCCCGGCTCGGTCTGACAGATCATCAGCAGAAGTCACCTCACCTGAACCCATCTGTGCTGCATGCTGATCACACAGGCGTTAGTGCTTCAGACGCGTCAGTGTTATCATCACAGTAACACCAGTTCAGTGAGTGCAGCGCAGCCAGACACACATGCACACGTGTTACAGACAGTCACGATGGCCGACTGCTCAGTTTGTGAGATCAACTGTTTTTTCTTTGTTTTTCAAGTTTTTATATTTTTAGCTGCAGTTCTGCACTTTGACAGTTTGCACAGTAAAATGATCACTGAGAGAAGCTGTCTGCTGTTCAAACGTTTGCTGTTCATGCTTCTGAAAGATCTTCTGATCACCAGGGCTGCGTTTATTTGATCAAAAATGCTGTAAAAATTATGACATATTATTAGAATGTAAAACAGCTGTTTTCTATGTGAATCTCTGTTAAACTGTAATGTATTTCTGTGATGCGCAGCTGTATTTTCAGCATCATTACTCCAGTCTTCAGTGTCACATGATCTTCAGAAATCATTCTAATATGCTGATTTGCTGCTCAAGAAACATTTCTGATTATTATCAGTGTTGAAAACAGTTGTGCTGCACAATATTTCTGTGGAAACTGATACATTTTATTTTTCAATAACTAGTGCAGTTCATCACAAAATCTGAACTTTGGTCACCATTCACTTCAAATTATTATTATTTTGGTAACATTATTAATTAGTAAGTTAGCAATAGTAATGAATTAAAATGAGTAATTAGTTAAAATTAATAATAATATTTTTTAAAAACTGTAACTGTAATCCATTTACAACATATCAGATTTGGTAGGTTTATACAGTTGAGAACCGGTCCAATTTTACATTCAATTGCATTGAAAAAGCAGCGGATGATGTTCTTTAGGGCTGTCAAGTGATTAAAGCTTTTAGATCTAATTATTGTATGTTGTGCCAATTAATTAATCCAATTAATCTCATCAGTTTGGGCTGAGAAATGACCTCTGAAAAGATCATTTAAAGTCTTTATTGTGTTAAATGAGAAAAGCATTCATGAGACATTACAAAATGTAGCTTTAGAAATAAATATTTTGATTCGACATTGCATAAATAATGACAATAAATAGGTATTAATGGTTTTGAAATTAATATTGATATATGAAATTATAAAAAAAAAATGATACTCTAAATATGAAACTAAAAGCGTCAGTAAGTGGCAAGTCACTGTTTTAATGAGTCACTGAATCATTCATTCAACCGATTCGTTCAAACGGCTGATTCATTCAGAAACGAAGCAAGTGACCGTCTTAATGAATCTGAATCACTGACTCACTCGATTCATTCAAAACTGTGGATTCAGAGATGATCAACATTTCTGCTGTGACCTTGATTGGAAATATCTAGTGAAATACACTGAAAATATTGTATCTAAAATGTAGCACAACATTAACTTCTTGTTTATTGAACAGTTGCATAAATCAGTATTACATTTACAGGGGCGCGGATATTGGGGACACTTGCTCGTGTGATATTGCTAAAATATATCATATGATATAAATATAAGAGGGTGATTTTTTTTCCTCATATCGTGAATTTTAGGCTCATATAACTGCATTCTGATAGACTCCATCAGTCAGTCAGTCGTCCTGCATCATGATCATCAGAAACTGCATCAATGTGAGATGACGGACAGCTCTGGACGGGGCGCTGCGTTAAATGCTTTAATCACGATATTTTGTCTATAATTAATTGCACCAAATGAATGCATTAAATCAACAGGCCTAGTTTTGTTCTCATAATTCTGAGACGCTGATGTGATTGGTTTGTGCTTGTTTGCAGCCTTACAGTGCTACTGTCACCGGTGCGTGTGTGTGTGTGTGTGTGTGTGTGTGTGTGTGTGTGTGTGAGTATGTGTTTGTGTGTGTGTGTGTGTATGTGTGTGAGTGTGTGTGAGTGTGCATGTGCGTGTGTATGTAATCACAAATATTTAGCTAAATTGTGCAGTTCTTTTTTTATGTTGCATTTTAATTTGTAAATCTGAACAGTTGCAGTTATGCAGTATAGTGCAGCCCTATTAATCTGCAGAATCACTCCTGAAGTGACCTGAAATGCTCGTTCTGTCATCATTTCCTGTTCCTCATGCAGGTCCAAACCTGTCTGACCTTCTTCTGCTAAAACAGAAAAGATACTTTGGAAATGGTCTGTTTTTTTTTGTATTCAGTGACAGTCAAATGGATAAAAAACAACATTAAACCCAACTGACTTTTACCGTATGCACAAAAACATGTGAAACACATAATGTCCAGTGTTCAAACTGATACTGTGTTTACTGGCTGTTTAAATGTGTAAAATGAACACTGTGAAAGGCTGCAGCACGTCTCTGTCACACAACCCCAGTGCCGTCTGAAGCAGAGCAAACTCACACATGTGCGGTTAGCGTGATCTCAGCTCTGGATGAGTGTAGTCTGAAGAAGCGATCTGAGACGTCTGTGTAAACACAGGAGCAGACGGCGTCTCTCTCAGCCTGTAGGGATTTTCCTCATAACCTCTGTCCTTCTGCTACCAGATATTCTCTGGTTTCATCTGATTAACTTGTCTTGTGTGGCTGTGGACGTAATGTAAATCTGCTGGGTTTGAACCACACAGTGCGTGCTTGCTGTTTTCAGGAGCTCGATGTGCTGGAATGCGTCTAGACGCTCGTCTATGGGAACGTCTGACTTAGACGTGAAATGATAGTGTTACGAGGCTTCTGAAGAAACGCTCAGAAGTGACTCATGTGTTTCTGCGTGACACGGACTCATTGTGTGTCTTCACTCGATATGCCACCTGAGCCGCTGAGAGATCGACACGCAGACTAACAGAGAGCGTTTGTTTGATTCACCGTAACTCGCTCTCACTCTCAGAACGCTCAGTTTAGAGCTGACCGTATTACACACAAACCTCAACACACTTTCTGGAAATCTCTGATCTGACTGGCTGCTATTATGTAACTTCCAAACGTATGGCACAAGTTGTCCCCACGTTCACATGGGTACAGTGCTATTTAAGTATCATTTATATATTACTACTATTATTAAACTTTATAGTTTTATAGTATTTAAGTATTGCTATAGTATTTATTATTTTATATTTATATTTTAAGTTTTCATATTAATTTTAGTTTGTTATTATTTATTTAGTTGTTTTAGTACCTAAACTTAAACAAAAATGTAAGTGTTGCCTTGGCAACTAACTTTTTATCTAATTTTTTTTTTTATATTATAATTTATATAGCATTTTTTTCATCTGATATTTCATATTTTATTTTATGCTAATATTTATTTATTTTATATTACTTCAGCTTTATTTCATTTACTGAAAACAATTTTTACAAACCCTGTATTAAAGAAAAACACCTAATTTGATGTAATGCACTCCTAAAGGTCTGAACTGAAGGGCCCCCTGCGGAGAGAGCAGGCGTCTGTTTCTCTGCTCGTGTTTTCTGACGTCTCTCTCCTGCTCTCTCGTTCAGTGCCGACGCAGAAGCCGGCGGTGTTGGGGCCTGTAGCATTCGCGGCCCTGATCGCGGGGCCCGTGTGTGTGGTGTGCTTCCTGATGGTCACCGTCTTCTACATCTGCCACAGCCGCTCGGTCCTCCACCACCGCGTGCCTAACGAGGAAGACCCCTCCATGGACCACCCCTTCATCACAGTGGGAACCACACTCAAAGACCTGATCTACGACATGACCACATCCGGCTCCGGCTCCGGTAACTCACACACACACACACACACTCACACACACATACTCACACACACACACACACACACACACACACACACACACACGC